TGTGTGTGTGTGTGTGTGTGTGTGTGTGTGTGTGTGTGTGTGTTTTAGGCATAAGAATGGTATATATCGGAGTAAATTGAATAAGAGAATCAAGATATTTTCTATGGATATAAATAGGTATTGTTCTATACCATTTTTTTTTTACTTAGCTACTATTGAAGAAAAGGTATTCCTACATTTCACAATATGAATGGCAATATCTAAAACACCAAAACTATTACTCCTATTTATACCTTATAACCATACCTATCAACAACCATACCTAGTAGTGCCACTTTCTATTTACTGTGCCTATTATTTTATTTTATTGGTACTTAGTTGTACATGACAGTAGAATCCATTTTGATAAAATTATAAAAGCACAGGATTTATCTTATTCTAATTGGGACTCCTTTTTTTTGGTGGACACAATGGTGGAGTTCACTTAGGAAAATTATGTTACATTTATTCTACTGTCTTTCAGAATACATGCTAAATGATAAAAAGCCAGTTCCAAAAAACCAAAGGTAGAATGTTTACTCTGATATGTGGAAGCTAAACCACAATAAAGAGAAGGAGGGGAAGAAGAGAAGTTCAGTAGATTAGACAATGGGGAAAGACTGTAAGGAAGGGAGGATAGGAAGAGGAAAGACAGAAGAATAAATCTAACATATTTTTTAAAAAATCATGTTCTCATTTTAGATTGTAAAGCATTTCTATAAAATATCCTAAAGGTCCTATTCTTCAACAAAGCCCTGGAATTGTGTTAGATACTGTTTTGACATTAATCTGACTCATTTTCTGAAGTTTAAATACAAATCATACCAACTTTACTAACTTTGGCAAGATTAGAATGCAAGGTTAGAATGTTCATTTGCCCTCTTTCCAAGGTAATTTAGAGTCTACTTACTCAAAGGAGAATTTTAAATGTGGTCCTAAGTCAATCCCTGATTTTTCTGCAGTCATGATGTCTTTGGTCTCACCAACAAGTTTATGCTCTAAGCTGCATGCTGGAAGGCAAACTAAACTGGCTCCAGATTCATTCAGCACTTTCTGAAATCTACCCACACACAGGATTTTCACTAGGACTTTCCTCCCTTTTGCCTGCCTTGGAGATGTATTTCATATGAATGATGCAAATTAAAGGTGTCCTGGGAAGAAATTCCCTGAAGTGTCCCATCCCTCTCAGGTGAAAAATAAGTCATATATGATGAGTAACTTAATCTTCAATTTGTTTCAGATTATGAGATAAAGAGGTTATTTATTCTTATAATTAAAGATACTAATTTGGGTAATATGCGGCAGTTTGGGCTACAAAAAAAAAAGTAGGAATTTATCTTCCAATACTATTCTCCAATAAAATGACAGTGCCTTTTTGAAAGAGTATCTGTTTCCAGAACTGGACAGGAAATGCATAGGAGCAACTGGAGCATCTTACAGTGGTAGAGAATGGGTTATTGCTGAAACACACATAGGCTCACAGTGATGGGAATGTGGGACAGAGATATAGGGTCAACCGAAAGAGCCTACAGAGATCAAAACTGAAAATATAGCAGCAACATAAGTAAGTAAACCATACTGAAATATAGCCTGAAGTATGACATATCCATCCAAGAGTCCACAGTGTTATAATTGAAAAAATAACTAAATAGAGGAGAATAGAGAAACTTATATGAATATAAATTTGAAGTATTTACAGAGACAAGGTACCCTGGAAGTTTTAGAGGACACCCATGCCTCCTCTTGTGGGCTGTGTGAATAGTGACTTGCTTCCAAACAAGATAGTATTGAATGGGGGACAAGTGGATGCAGAGAGGAATGCAACCATGGCTGCTTCAGTCAATTGGGCAAGTTCCTTCTGAGCAAGTGTAAAGTCACACTGGTGGCACATACCCACTGATGTGACATGATAAAAATAAAACTTTATTTCTTTGCTATTCCTTCCTCCAAAATCTCACAATTCCAGGCTGAGTAACAGCAGGCAAGCAATACCTGAGAATGTTAGTTCAAAATGTTGACTTGCTTTCCTGAAAAGTGTCAAGGTCATTGAAAAACAAAGACAGTATCCCTGTCTATCTGTGCTGACAAAAACAC